GCATCCAAATTATACAGGGCAACATTTTCAGAAACACGTTTCGACATGAGTTGGTGCTGCTTTGGTGCAAGGAAAAAGCCTCAACAAGACCGGGAGGTGAGGATTTCTTTTTTGGATCCTGGGAGACACATAAAGGCTACAAAGTTGCTATACAGTGATCCTGGGAGACACATTAACGCACAGGTATTACATGGTTGTTCTGTTTGTTTCCTTTTGCAATGTTTCAGTTATTAAATCTTAATTACATTTTGTTGGATTCACTTGTATTAAATTAATTGGAAGAATGCACTCTAATCTCCTTCTTTTTTGGTGTAGTGTCTACGATCAACAGTAACATATCGAGATGGTGATATGCGTCAGTGTTTTGAGACATGGAAGATGATGCTGAGCTTTTGGCTTTGTTGGACTTCTTGTTAGGAGAAGGCGGCAGCAGGAGCAACTGCATGAAGTGGCATATGTTTGACAGATTGATGGATTTTAATTTAACAGATTAATGGATTTCATAATATCATCTGCTTCAGAAAGCTTCAGCCTGAATTTAGCTAGCGTGATCGATAGCATATGTTTGATTTTGGTATATGTGTATTATTACTTTGTTTGATTTTGGTGTATCTTTATTTAACTGTAACAGCTTGTAAAGAAACAAGTCATTGGTGTATCTGTATTATAGCATATGTTAGATTTTGGTGTTCTGCAAGTCATTGGTGTACACTGTAGAAGAGCTGGGACTGAGTCCAAATTATACTGCAAGTCATTGGTGTAAAGAAACAAGTTCTGAAACAGTTCCTGGTTGAAAAGCTGGGACTGAGTCCAAATTATATGTCACTGGTTGAAAAGCTGGGACTGAGTCCAAATTTTAATCCAAACTAAGATAACCATGTCAAGCTAGGATTGAGTCCAAATTATATGTTACTGGTTGAAAAGCTGTGACTGAGTCCAAATTTTAATCCAAACTAAGATAACCATGTCCACTGGTGACCATGTCCACTGCCCTTACATGAACATGCATACGTAACTGAACTTATAGAATTATAATCCAAACACACGAAACAATAAAATGCATATCTAACTGTCTTATATTGTTTTAGCGGAAGAACATACAATGCCTTTACATGTCCATAGGCCCAAATGAAAATAAACACAAGAGCAATAAATGAGGCCATATTCTTGATACGAACTAAGATCACAAAATACATAACATAATTTCTTGTTTCATTCCAGCACATCAAAGTACATAGGCCATCAAAGTATTTTCCTCACTTACAAAGTCTTGTTTCATTCCACCACATCAAGTTGCATCACATAATTTCTTTCATGGCTAAACAAAAAGACAACAAAAAAGCTATAACAGTTAGCCATTTCCACAACATACTTCCTTCGTCAAACTCTATATCAAGCTGGTAAGCTGTAGATATCAAGCTTCAACATAAATGGGCACTCCTATTCTACACAATCAAAAGGATTATTCACGCTACATGTCGACCAGGTCAATTCATCATAGCTGTTTGAAAATATATGATACAAGCTAAAATGATAGATAAAGCTGAGCCCACCTATTCTCAAGCAACATTACACACATTATAGGGATATACTAGTGAGTAAAAATGATAACCTATTCTCAATGGTTTCCCTGAAAAACCTCTCAACATCTTCAACACTGTAAGCAACAATAGACCAGCAAGGTTCACCTGAAAAGTCAAAGAGACATCCACCTAAAAGGTTTCAAATATAAGTTAGGAAACAAGAAATAGAATATAACTTACATTCATAACAAGCAAGCAAGCAAGCTTGAAACAGAATAAAGACTTACATCATAACAAAGGTATAGAAAACGATTCATCTGTCACTAGCATAGATGCAAACAAAATGGAGATTAAATACTCTAATCAAATGAATCTTGCATTTCATTTCAACAAAGAGAGATGGTACAATAAACAAAATGAAACTATCCCTAATGAATCTAACCAATGCTAGAAAATTCATCTAATATAAAATTGAAACAAAATTTTTTTTATCATTTTGCTGCTTCAATCTCTCTCTCTTAACCCATTTAGATCAAGATAAGGGTTTTCATGATTCAACCAACAATAAACCAAATTTGATCTTCCGATTTACTTAACAAGATGTGATTTTTTACTAATAATTGACCAAATTGAACAGCATAAGACCCACAAACACCAAATTCCAGCTCAAATCCGAAACAAATTCATCTTTAACTAGATTCAGCATATATCTTAAGCATCAATTTTAAAGTATATTTCAAAAAAAATTGAGGAAAGAGAAGAGAAAGAGCCTGAGATGAGTTGTTACAGTGAACCTCGCAGACAAGTTGGCGACGGGGCGGAGCAGCGGCGGAGGAGGAGTCGACGACGAGGCGGAGGAGAAGGGTGTTTGGGGGCGTCGGCGTCAGTGTCGTGTGTTTGGGCGTCGGCGTCTTCGTCGGCGGTGATAGGGATGTCGCGGTCGCCGGAGTTGGTGTAGGTCGGTGGCTTGATGGAGGAGGAGAAGGGTGATGGGGATTTGATTTTGGGGATAAGGGTTTTGGAACGAGAAGAGAGAGAGAGAGTCACGAGGATGGGGATTTGATTTTGGTGATTTTTTTCAAAAAAGTCCCCGCTGTACGATCACGAGCTCGCTTACCATTGTCGGAGGATTTTCTCAAAAAAACCCTAAAATCACTGAAACAGGCTGAATGCGTACGCACTGGTCCGCATGAGAAACGAACTGTATATATATATACATATATTATATATATATATATATATATATATATAAATTAATATATATACTATAGTATATATATATATATATAGGAAAAGTGAATCTAAGGCTGACACCCTAGGCTCCACCTAAGGACGTGGCCTAAAATCACATAATTTCTAACATTTTTTTTAGCGATCCGCCCGTCCAGTTAACCTTCGATCTACACCGTTCTTAAACGCCAAACACAAACAATTATGGGTAACCGGTTGTTTTGACTATTCTTGAGCCGATGCAAAAAGTTCTATTCAATTCGAACCGTTTAAAATTGCAGGCAAGTGGCATAAAAGGGTCAAAAACAACCGGGTTCACCTAAAATGGTGTGTTTGGCTTAAGAACGTGGTGAGATCCAGAGTTCAACGGAGCAATTGTTAAAAAAAATCTAAGAAATGGTAGTGATTTGGTAGGCCGGCTGTCCTTTAGGAAAAATTGAAGGAGGCTTCTAGTTGGGAGGGGGCCTCACCGTAGGATTAGATTCATTCTATATCCACCATTGTATTTATACGTAAGTAATATATTATATATAATATTACGATATATATTGATATAGTATATATATATATATATATTATATTATACTATATATATATATATATATATCGAATAATGACACAATAATTTATGCATTAGGAAACACTTACGGCACGGGTCAAAAATGTAGCGGGGCTTGATTGTTATATCAGTACTTAGTTATATATATATATATACTATAGTAATATATATATATAGGTATATATATAAGCATTTTTTACTATATATAGTACCATAATAATTAATTATATAAAGTATTTTATAGTATATATATATATACTATAAATATATATTGTTATAACTATCGGAATAGACACAATAAGGATTTATTGATAGGAAACACTTTACGCGTCAAAAATGTAAGCGGCTTGTACTATTACCATGTGGAATATAAACTCACCATGTGATCCGCTTTTGTATTAATTTCCCAGATGAAAGTTATGTAGACATGATCTTGCTGGATGATGTCTTCTAATAAGGGCCTGTTCGTTTGTTTTCTAAAAACCAAGAAATAAAAATGGAAATGGTGAAAATCTCAAAACTCACCATTTCCTCCATTTCCATCCCTAAAACTCACCCACAACATCCAATAAAATATTATTTCCATCCAACAACTCATTCACATCATCTAATAAAATATGATTTTCATCTAACCACTCATCCATCACATCTAATAAAATATTATTTTCATCTAACAACTCATCCATCACATCTAATAAAATATTATTTTCATCCAAACATCACTCAACTCATCTCTTCTCATCATTTCAAATCACTCACATCATCCAATAAAATATTATAACAATTCACCTCATCTCATTAACATTTCATTTCTTCATTTTCATCCCAAAAAGTTATGAAACCACTTTTCTTAATCTTTCTTTACATCACCCAATAATACAATGACAACTCATCTCATCTCATTTCATTTCTTATTTTTAAGAATGAACCGAACAAAAGAAAACAAGAAACTACAGGAAATAGGTTTCTTATAATTCATTTCCTTATTTTTTTTCGCCAACCGAACACTCCAAAACTAGTGTTCTTAAAAAATCACAAACATCATCCAATAATAGGTGACAACTAACATCATTTCAATTTTATTTATTTGATTTCCTTCTTTTTTAGCCAACCAAACACTCCAAAAACAATTCTTCATTTTAATAGTTTTTCATTTCTTTGATTTCCCTCTTTTTTTTTTAGGCAAACGAACAGACCCTAAGTTACGTAAGGTACTTATTAGATAAAGATCATTTATTACTTAAGCATATGTTTTAAGGCTTTTTTTTTAATAACTAAAGTGAGAGATGTGAGTTAAGAATTTATCTGAAGCCTTCAACCCCAGCAAATGTCACATCACACATCTAATCCATCCTTTAATAAAATAATAACAAAACTTATCAAATCCTGGGGTCCTCATGTCGGTCTACCCGCTATCCCCCCCACCCTCGAATTATTTCCATCTACCCGCTCTCTTACACGAGGTACACTTGTCCCTTTCACGAGAACCATATAAGCTAAGCTACACCTCAATTATCTCCTAAACGGCGCCCAAGATCCTCGTTCGCCACGTGGACAAGATCGAGGAAATTAACGGTCCAGATAGACGAAGGATGACGCCGGCGCAGGTTAGAACTGTCCCTTTCAATCATTTTTAAACGGTTTGATAGTACAATAAGAAATTTTTGAGGGGCTATATCTAAATTTTTTCTGCTCTTCGTCCATTATCTGTCTTCACTGCTCTCTGTCTCGGTCTCGCAAGCTCTCGAGATCTAATCCGATCTCAATGGCATTGGCCGATCTCGCCGGCGTCTTCATCCCTTCATGATTCTTATCGCCAGATCTCAAGATTTTTCCTTCGATTTGTTCAGATCTTCGAAAATTTGGCTGTTTCTGGTAATTTCTAGGGTTTGTTTGCTCAAGATCTAGGAATTTGAGGGGTTTTTTTCCTGTTCCAGTGTAACGACATTGCTGAAATTTATGGTTCCTTTCCTTTTTTTAGTAATACGTAGCGATTTGTCTCGGGGTTTATGCGGTTGATTGCAGTTAAAAGGTCAAAAAAAGCTGCCTCTTTTCTTGTTTCATCGTGGAATCTAGGGTTCTGAATCATTCCCTTACAAGTAAACTTAGTACTGTATTCTTCATTTGAATCAATTTAGGTTCCTTCCGCTTGAAATTCGAACAGTACGGCTGTTAATGTTGGTCTAGGGTTTTTGTTTGTGGCCTTATCGGATTTATCACCATGTGGAAGCAACTTTTCAGCAAATTGCCCAAAAAATCAGCTAAATCCAGTTCACATTCAGATGCCTCAAACCATCATCACCATCGTTCAAACAGTGGCAGCTCTGATGAGAACTCAATCCAGCGATCAATCAGCAACAGCAACAATGCTGCTGGCGGTCGCTCGGCCAATCCGAAGAGGACCTCTTCTGCTGTCTTCCCGTCTAACTTTGTTGCTGGAATTGAGCCTCTGTTAGCTTTCAAGGATGTCACCAGCCAAGAAAAATCCAACCTTTTTATTAGCAAGCTGACCCTTTGTTGTGCAACCTTTGATTTCTCCGACCCGAATAAAAATCTTGCCGAAAAGGATATAAAGAAGCATACCCTTATTGATCTTATCGAATATGTCAATACGGGTCCCCCTAAATTCACCGAGCAGATGATTTCGGCAAGTTGCAAGATGTTTGCAGCCAACTTGTTTAGGGCTTTCCCTCCAAATTACCGATCAAATTCGGGTGGAGGGGAGGCTGAAGAAGAAGAGCCCATGTTTGATCCAGCTTGGTCGCATTTGCAGTTGGTGTATGATTTGCTGCTTAAGTTAGTTGGATCCACCTTGCTCGATGCAAAGGTTGCGAAGAAGTATTTTGACCATTCCTTCATTTTGAGATTGCTCGAGTTGTTTGATTCAGAGGATCCAAGAGAGAGGGATTGCTTGAAGACTATATTGCATAAGTTATATGGGAAGTTTATGGTTCACCGGCCTTTCATTCGGAAGTCGGTGAGCAATATATTTTATCGGTTTGTGTTTGAAACCGATAGGCATAATGGGATTGGAGAATTATTGGAGGTTTTTGGGAGTGTGATAAGTGGGTTTGCTCTGCCATTAAAGGAAGAGCACAAGATTTTCTTATGGAGAGCTTTGATTCCTCTGCACAAACCAAAGTCAGTGGGGACTTATCTTCAGCAGTTGACCTACTGTGTGACTCAGTTTGTAGAGAAGGAGCCAAAGTTGGCTAGTACAGTTATCAGGGGCTTGTTGAAGTATTGGCCAGTGACAAATAGTCAGAAGGAGGTGATGTTTTTAAGCGAGTTGGAAGAAGTTTTGGAATCAACAAATGTGGTGGAGTTCCAGAAGTGTATGGTCCCATTATTCCGGAGAATTGGGTACTGCCTCAATAGCTCCCATTTTCAGGTAAATCACCGTCTTTCCTTTCTACCTGGTGCACCTAGTCCTCTCTTAATTCTAGGTTTCTATTGCATGAACCTTTAAGTCTGTAAATTGGCTCTCAAACAACACTTGTTTGTGTACTTTGAATCATCATTTTGATTTCTGTTTTGTAGTTTTCATGACAAATTAGTAAAAGGTCTTTGAACTCCACCTTCCTATAGTAAGGAGAAAAAGCGCTGCTACAGTGCAATTACGCATTCGATCTGTTGGCTACAACTTTCTACAGATAATTAATAGTTTATTGTTCACAGATAATACAAGAGTTGCATGGTTTCTGTTTTTAAATAATATGATAGATAGTACTTCTTAATCTTTTAAGTTATTGGTCAATTCAACCTGAATTGCTGTTAACTAATTCCAAATTGGGGTTTTATTTAATATTGTTGCATTAACATGAAATGATCTGGGTCTCATATCTTACTGAAAGTGATAAAGAATATGGCAAGTGCATCTTTCTCTCATGGTTCCATCCCTCCTTGATCTGCATGATGTATCAGTTGTATAACTGAAACATCTTGGCAACTAAATGATATTCTCCTTGCTTGATTGGAAAGTGCACATTAGTAGTTTTGCTTAATGCTGAAAGCCTGAAACTACTAAACAACAAGTCTGTTTCACTTGCAACAAGACACTCTTATAGTCAGTGGTCGGATTTGGACCAGAATCAATATGGTATAGGATTATTTATAAGAAGTTTATCATCTTCCTCTAGTTTGTAATTCTCCTTTTAGTTCAAGGGTTTCTGTTTTGCTATATGAGCATAATCATCCTTCCAGTAAGAGCTGATAGAGTAGTTTATCTATAGGCTAACTAAATATAATATGGTTTTTGGGAAGCCCCTCCTTTATCCATGCTTCCTCACCAAATTTGGCACCAACCTGTAGGGTTTATCATCTGTGTTAGCTTATAGGTGATGATAAGATTTGTGAATGCTTCCATGGGGCCTTGCATCTGGAGTTGCACTCAATGAGAAGCCTGTTTATGTCACAATGCTTCTATGATGATAATAAGTCCAATTGATATGTTTTATTGGTAAGATAACAAGCAAAATATAGAGAATTAGGCTAGCTAGGAAGAGTCCTGAAGTGTGTATGGTCTCTGGTAAACCCTCTTAATATGACCATTATCTTACAAGCATAAAACCTCATAGAATGTGACATGTTGGAATATAAAATCCCAGTTTGTATCAAGGGACTGAGTTTTGGACTAGCCTTTTTCACTCTCCTCACATGGAAAAACTACTTTGCTGAGCTCCAATGTGAGCAATGCAAAGCACTCATTTTTTTTAATATTGTTGGGCTACAGTCTTCTTGTTCTTTTGAATAACTATAATTTCTTCTGGTAGTATTTTCTAAAGAGCAGTAATTTGTATGCCCTTTAGGACTTGAAACTAGGATATTTGAATTCCTCTCTACCTCCTGTTCGCATTTTCTTTTTGCGTTATGCAATTTTCTGTCAATAGCTATGCTCCTGGACCCAGTTCCTTGTGAAGGTATGGAGTTATTTCTTAGATGTTTGTGCAATACAATTTGCTTTGGAACTAGAAAGAGACTTGCATATCATTGCGTTGACATTTATATTTGATTGAAGTAGTCATATTGTTTCTTGTCATCGACCATTGTCACCGCAGATGACCCATGATTGTTTTCTTCAAGGTTTACGATTTGTTGCATTTGCCTACTCATCATGTCAGGAAGTATTATGTTGTTTAATTAGGTGTTGCAATGCCAACAACATCAATAAATATTGTATGCCCGTAGTTCGGGTTGGCTAAATGAATCCCTTTTCATCACTTCATGCCTATTTGATTGGTTAGACTATGTTTGTCTTAGCCTATCCATAGTCATAACTAGCATTCAACTATGATCCTATTACCATCTTTTAATTTTTGAAAGCCATTGGTCTTCTTTGCATGTCTTAACCATTTTAAATGAATCCATCATCTACTTTTCTATAAAGCTGTCAGTAACTGATTATAGGTGTACTCACTTATTAGTCTATCTATTTTACTGCTCATCTATCTCAATATTATCATGCCAGCTGTACTGATTTGGCATGTTGCTTCTGAAGTGTCATTACCACTTAATATTGGTCGGTTTGTGTAGCATTCTTATAGAAGTTTTAGTTCAACTTTATGAACGTTTGACAGTTAAATATACTCATAACTCTCTGGTAGATTCCGACGACATCCTTCTGAAATCATTATGAGTTTTTGATCCCAATTAATGAAAGCTCTTGTGCTACAAAAAGATTGAGTAATGAAATTATCACTCTTCTGTATTTTTGGCCATACATTTGAAACTCGCATTTTATAGTTCTGCCAAAGCTACATTTCAAGTGTGCTATCTCTCTGTAATGCTGAATCCAAATCATGCAGTTTCTAGAACTTCTTTCTCCATATTTCTACTTTTAAATTTGCATACTCTAGGCTTGTCAACAGATGTGGTATCATTGGCAAAATGACGTGACTGGGAACAACTTGCACCTTAGGCCCTCTTGTATATTCCTAACAAGTTCATCTATGGTGCGACAAAAAGGAGGTAGAATCTAATTATGATGTTGACGGGAAGTGTTCGGTGATGATGATAACATATGTTTTTGGTTTTTCGTTTTTCCACTGGAATCTTCTCATGAAGTTATTGTATCACGCTGCTTGGTGCATTAGTTTCTTCGATTAGCTTTGTTCTATCATATAAAAAGCAGTCAAACTGTCTACTGGAGACAACTTAATCAGCAAGAACCATTGCGTATATAAATCAATGTTCAAGCAGCATTTATGTTGTTGCTCATTTACTGCTTTATCACTGAATATGCAATGCTTAAAATTTCAGGTTGCTGAAAGGGCCCTTTTCCTTTGGAACAATGACCACATAATTGGCATGGTTGCACAAAACCGTCACGTGATCATGCCCCTCATTGTTCCAGCCATAGAAAGGAACTCCAAGAACCACTGGAACCAAGCAGTTCTTAACCTCACAATAAACGCAAGAAAGATGCTATCTGAGATGGACGAGGATCTATTCTCCGAGTGCCTGAGAAAATTCGAGGATGAGGAAGAGATGAAGAAATCGATAGAAGAGAAGCGGAGGATTACATGGGAGCGACTGGAGGCTGCTGCCTCCTCAAAGCCGGTGACTGGGAACACTGCCGTCCTGGTGAGGCCAGTTCCAGTTTCTCGTGTTGCCACTTCTCTTAGTTAAAGAGATAAGCAGGGGATGTTCTGGAGGTTCTTGTTTTTTTCCCCCTTTTGATTTTTTTAGCTTCTTTTGTATTATGGTAATATTGTTACTATTATCTTCTTGCTGTAACTAAAGTTGAATTGGTGCTGTTGGAAGAAGGCATCATGTTTGTGGGAGGGTAGTGGGTCTGTACTGAAGCCGAAATTGCCGAGAGAATACATGGCAGATGCCCAGGGTAATCCTGTTGGTTCTTGTTTCCCTGTTGAAAATTTATTTTGATCCGACTTATTGTTCTCCCATATTGGAAGTTTAGATAAGAGTTCATAGTTGAGCTATGCAGATGATGTAGAGATAATAACCTTGAGAAAGAGTACTGGTTGCGATTCATTATGATCATTGGCTGATAGACCTAAGCTGTTTATGCTGTCGTTAGATGTTTGGTTTACGTGAGTAATTAGGCAATTTCTCCCACTTTTTCTTAGGCGCTGTTAGTCAGATTTTCTGAATGTTTTTATTGGTAGCTGGAGGCTGGAATAGACGATCAATTTGGCGAAGTATCCTACGGGCTTAAATCACGGTGTAATCTCTACATTTAATCTCTACATTGCTTCCAATCAACTTCTCAGAAGGAAATAGGAAAAGAAAGTAGAACGGATAGTCCTAGCATGCTTCTATCACGACAATTAACTTTGATCGAGTTCCGTCCAATTCTGTTAAAATGCTGCACATAACCTCATCAATTTGCTGCAGACTCAGACACCACTTAGGTAAGGCTCATTAGCTATCTACATTCAGCAGGTCAAACAAGATATGTTTACGATGCACAATCCCACTTAGGTAAGGCTCATTAGCTATCTACATTCAGCAGGTCAAACAAGATATGTTTACGATGCACAATCTAATTCACAGGGTAACATGCAGAGTCTTACATTCAGCAGGTCAAACAAGATATGTTTACGATGCACAATCTAATTCACAGGGTAACATGCAGAGTCTTCAGCATCGAAAAAATAGTTGTACATAGCAGCACATGCAACTTTCTGTTGCTTCAGGCAATGGTCCCCGATACCTTTGGATGTGGCACGCGGATCCTAGTTTGATGATTAGCCCACCATCCACTTGATCCAAGAACCCTTCAAAACTCTTCTACAATTTGTGTTGCGCGTTACATTTATGGTACAACAACAAGCATTTTACAACCATTTCTGAGGTTTTTCCCGTATCAGGGACAGTATTACCGACCAAAGGGAATGAGAATATTGCCGAAGAAAAGAATCGCCTGCTCAACTATTGAAGCCTTTAGAAGATGTACAGGCATGCTAGCCCTGTAAGCAGTGAGGTGAGCAGTATTGATACTGCATTCACAGCATTATTGTCGAGGATGTCCACTCCAGAGATTCTCTTCACGGTTGGTGATTTTTTGCTGACCACCTACACAACAGCAAAATCACAGTCTATTAAAAACTAGGGAAACAAATGTTCTTACAGAATGAACCCGTGCAACTTTTTAAGGTTTGGAGGCAAAGGGATTGATGAAACTCAATATGTTACCTTACGGCGGACATTGCAGTATCCACTGTACTGAACTGTTGCACCCAACAATGAATCGATAAGACTTCCCAACAAGCCAGATGCTGTGGCAAGAGGTATAACTAGGAGTTGCCTCCAAGATGCATCACTAGCACATTCAGCTGATACCAACCCCACCGCAACATAAGCCAGCCCAACAACAAAGCCAGCTGCTGCGGCGGCTAGAAGACCTTCGTTGGAGACCGCACCATTTGTACCTTTCCGAACTTTCTGATAAAACGAATTCAGAGTATTCAGTTTTGCATGATCTCAATATTTCAAAAACAATAAATTGTTGTTTGCTGGAACTTTATAGCCAATCTGATCTGCTTTCTAATAAGGTATGAGAAAGACCAGTGACATCCCATGTAAGACCCTAATACAAATTGGATATAATATCTGATTACAATAATAATATCACAATTAAAAATCACATTTGTAGTCACCTTGAAATATTACAGCATTCTCCACGTGGAATGAAATTCCAGCTATTAAAAAGCACAGTTAATGACATGTCATACTGCTTTTATTTTATTTTCCCCTATATTTCTTAGTTTCCCTTTTCTTCGTATTTTTTTAATAACTGTTTCGTTCAAGATATGTAACTGGACGCAAAGCACAATATCACATCACCTGGATAAGTGAACATCAGGTTGTGTTTTACATTTTTATATCCAACCTTGCTTGAATGTAATCATCATGTCAACTTTGTCATAACTAAATATTGAAAAAAAAAATCCAAATGCAATGTTCAGATAACACATATTTGACTATTATAAAGATCCCACAGATATTGTTGCTTAAGTTCCAGATGGCTGAGGGCAAAAATCATTGAGGGTTGATAAACAAGCAAATTCTGCCTCAACGTATAAATAGTAAATACGCAAGGGCATTTTGCATTGTTTTTATTTGTTTCATTATCACAACTTTTGTGTCTGCCACAGGAAGGGAGGGTGTGGGCAGGGAGTTGGTGTTCTTTGCTTCAAATTGCGAGAGGCACATTGCACCTCTCCATCTCCTTGCTAAAGACTATTTCTAACAGTTTGGCAGTCGAAGTGTAGGTAGCAATGGCTATGAACACATGGAAATGTCATCAGACAAACATTAAATGATAGGAAATCTATAACTCCTTTTGTACAAAATGAGAGCGATGTTTAACCTCCTGTCGGTTATTTATGACAAACATATGTAGGAGAATAGTTGCATTGTAGGGTTCTTTCTATCATGTGTGCTGCTTCGGTTCATGAACTTTGTTGGAAATGTTTAATGATCTATGGGAGAGTTGAGAATACTCAAACTTAATCAAAAAGTTAAAATGGGTGAAAATGAGAAAGATACCAGTCCAAGAATAATCTGCAATCAAACTAGTATCTGAAATGACCACCACTTAGGAGATTTATGTTAAGGCATGTTTTCTGTCAAATAGGATTGCCCTTCAAATATGATTGCCACCCAAACATGAAAACAGATAATGTAAGCAAACTGAAAAGGAAGAGGATCATTTAGAGAGACTAATTAATTGGAACAAAAACATTTATAATGGAAAAATATACAGAAAACTTAAAAGAAAATGCACGATATCCTTCACAGTTAAGTAATCAGTCCTACTTGCATAAAAACAGATTTCAAATGTAACGAGTTAAATTGTAAACAATTACAGTTGCATTTAAATCCACATTGGCATGAGTTGGAACTTAGAACTTATAAGGCTTGTTTGTAAATCCATTTTCAGAGTGGACAACTTTAAAGCATATGTTTGTTATTAGATGTAGCATAAGTAACAAACATGTATCAGTTCAGGATTTCTATTTGGAGCTTAGAGTTTATCAGGAGTTTATAATAAGATGCAACATGAGAATACCTTTCCCCTCTCCCACTATGTGTGTGCAGAGGGGGAAGGAGTGTGGAGGGAAGGGAGGGAATGCACTTGAATGATGAGCTAGAATATATTTCTTGGGGTCCTGCCATTCATTAGCCACAGCCACAAAAGCCTGAAGTTGTACCTTCCAGATAACCACATGTATGAAGAAATAGCCACTAGCACAAACAAGAGCTCCGAAAAAGCCAACATGGATAGACTAGTTAACCACTCTGTTGAATTTGAAGGTGATGTATTATCAACTGAAAATAAAATATATATACCTTGAAGGTTGTGATAAGACGAGGTTCTCCACTGCTCAGTATTCCAATTTCTGATGACCAAGTATCACCATTGCAGCAGGCGTAATGTCCAATAATTCCACCAATAAGGCCAGTTATAACAATTGATTCTTTTGTGTTTAGGCACCATTGCTGTTCCTGATACAGGGCGAGTACAAGCAGCATAATGGTCGCAATTGCACTGTTGGATAGAACCTGCACCCTGTGAATGAGGCAGATTCCATATTAGAAATGTGGAAGAAAACACAACCGACAATTATAAAGGCATAATTTGCATAGTTTGACTTGCGAAGTGGAAGCCTTAATCATGTCTTAGTTGCGATGAAGTGTCATATTATGAAGGCACAGTTTGCATATTCTGACTTTTCTGACTTTTGAAATGGAAGCCTAGTCACGCGCCTTAGTTACAACAAAGTGTCACATTAACCAAACCATATAAATACATCTATCCTAATGTTTGATGGATTAAAATCGTAAAAGAACTTGAATTGTAGAGGGAAGCTAAGCTTCATAACAGAATTTTGGACCTCAATAAAACTTCCAATCTAGGAATCAAACAAATTTGAGATAAAAAGTTTGATGCAACCATTTCAAGATTTTCTAACAATCATATTTGCTAGATCAGTATAAGGAATGTCCCTTTGCAAAGAACTTGTAATAGATAGATTTATATCCAATGGACAGTTGTCACTAACAGTTTGTTCAAGTAGGGAAAAAAGGTTATTGTACTCATCAATGTTAAGTTTTCTTGATGTACATTGTTAGCTTGATATACACTACAACAGATAAGCTGGAATAAACTGGTTATCTGATAATTCTAAACAAGTACTATCTTATAGAAGTATGCAAACGTAATAATGACACGTGAACATTATTTATATTTTCTTTCATTAATGAAGTTGAGTTCTTTTTAGCTAATGAAGCAAGGTAACAAGGAAAGCAAAATACTCCTTAATGATATGAGATGCGAGAAGCAATCTGGAGGAAGAATCTAATTGAAGAACGTAATAGGTGAGGTCCAAATTTGATGGACATAGCAAATTGCAAGAGAGGTGCAGAACTACATGATACATAGCCCTGAGCAACATGCATTCCATTGTGTTTTTCTTCTCTTCTCTCAGATTATCTCAAAATTTCTTCCTTCCCCTTCACTGGTCAACAAAGCGTTACCAGGCTAACTCAGGATGAGCTCCTTCACTCTTCCATTCAGCCTGGACCCCAACAATCAAGCCCTACACTTTGATTACAATAAGGACTAGAAAATCCTCCACTTCGTGTGCAATTGGAGACCATGAATCTGGTTTCGGTTGTCAACTAAATTTTTCCCTGGAGCAATGTCAACTTAATGATAGACCTTATTCTTCACGAACTAACTGTTAGAGACTTCATCTAATCTGTGACATTTCACTTATTGTGTCTGTTTAATTCCACAACTCCACCTAAGTCAATGCATCTCCCTATTTTCATCATCAGCATAAGCATAAATTCCTAGCAACTCCATTCCGGAACTTGAAGTTCTACACTTCCAGATATAGCTCTTCTGCCTAGGAAAAAAACGCCCCTTCGGCTCTGCTAAATCATCTCTTGCGCTCTCCTCATAAGTCATAGCCCTAACTTCAGGACTGAACCCATGTATGACCTACGTTCAATGCCCAAATTATTTGAGCCTTAATGAATTCAGATGAACCTGATCCAACCATTTCGAAAATTATATTACCGCAGCAACGTCATACAGTGACCATTTTAGTTAGGAAAATTCTCTCTTATCTTCGTCATACTTTTCCTTTCTTTCCCACTTGCATTTCTTTTGTTTTCCTGGGGAATGACACATATCACCTTCTAGAACTTGGATCCCTCTAAAGAAAGGAGCCCTCTTTAGTAAGTGAACAACTATACTCAAGGTTGGTAGAGTACTCGACTGTAAAGAGCAGGGAAGGGATCTTGAATTGGATCAGGGCCGGCCCTGGGGTAAGCCCACCAAGCCCCGGGGCTGGGGCAACCCAGGGCCGGAGGGCAACCCATCCCTTTCTTCTGACCGCAGCTACATATTTCCCTCATCCAATAGCCGCCAAAATCAACAGCTGTAATCGGACCATCATCTCGCCTCCTCCCGCTTTCTTCTTCTATCTCTGACGATTTTGGCGGCTAGGGTTTTGATGGGGGCGTTGATGAGGGTTTTGGGGGCCTAGGGTTTTCGAGATGAGCGCGGTCAACATCACGAACGTGACAGTACTCGACAACCCTGTGGCGTTTCTCAATTGGTTCCAGTTCGAGATCTCCTACGAGTGCCTCGTCCCTCTCGAAGACGGTACGGATTCGATCAAGATCTCATCTTTTCCCTTATTTTAATGCTGAGTTCTGATTGCATTTGTTATATCTTCTCGTTGCTTGATTTCCTTAAGTCAGAATTTCTAAGCAGAAGTCCTGCTTCCACTGTGGCTAATTGAACCTAGATCCATTAATACCTATTTTGTTGCAATAAGCGAGCTAATGATGAAGTTAGCTTCTTATTCGATTTGAACCTAGAACCTTTTGGACATCACATCTAGTTTTTATGACTGAGTCAACTTCAGTTTCTTTGATGCAGTTATCTTGGTTGCAATGTCGATATTGATCTACCTGCTTGACTCACATCTACTGACCTTCATCGTAGGAGTTAGTTTTGTTTTGTTGCATCTTTATTTGCATTGCCATCTTTGTGTGGGTTTCTTGTTGCCCATAGCATAATATTTACCTTTCATTTGGCTAATCATACAGCGTTGACTTCATTATCAGCGGATAGTTTTGCAAGTAGTAAACCTTTCATTGTTTTGTTTGGGAGGCTTTCTTCATCGTCATGCTTGTGACCTGTTACTAGCTTGGTTGCTACCGACCTGGCTGTAAGTGTAAGCAAATAGTATTCAATACCTATCACTATACCAGTTGATACCTTGACTTCCACTGATTGCTCCCTTTGGGTATTTGAAATACACAAATGTGTGGTGAACCAGGTGCTCATAATATGTTCTGACCCAACAAACCGCGTCTTAAATTTTGAAAAGCACTTGCGTGCAATTGATTGGTGTTCTTGTTTCTCGATCTTCTTTCAGTAATCTATTTTATTAAAAAAATATCTGTTATTTTATTTATAAACATTAATGACTGGATGCTTAGAACTAGTTCAATCAAGAAGTTGAACCAGTTTAGATAATAGATTCGTGTTGATTAATATCGTGTATTCATCAGATTTTTTATCGTTGTTGTTCGTAACAAATTTTTAATATAAGAGGCAACCAAAATTGAAATGGGCTAGGGCAACCCAAACCTCGGGGCCGGCCCTGAATTGGATACATCCAAAATCTAAAATCTACTACAATGTTTTCTTCTAAGATTATCATGCACAAGATTCTTCCAAAGTCAACAGCTTGGACAAACAAATCTCCCCTCCTTAAGCTCGTGGTCGTCGTAAGTCAAAACAAAAATCAATAATCAAACTTTCAGTTGAAGAACTAACCTGACCATAGAACTCCACTAATTAATCACATGATTTCAGGTGACTAAGGCAAAATCGAAATCAATAAATGAAACATTAAATTATTGGAAAAAAAAATCATCATATGCTCTCAAGGACACAGTAGTTATACAAACGATGCCAAATTTCTCCTCAGAAACAGGGCTCTAATATCAAAAACCAAATCGATAATCAAAAGAAACACTAATGGTGTGTTTGGGAGATGCCTAAGGGAAGGTATTTTCCCTTCCTTCTCTTCCCCTTCTTTACCCCTCAATTTGGGGGGTAAGATTTTAGTTCAATCCCACCCCCCCCCCCCCCTATTCCCCTCTCCTACCTTCTAAATGGAAGGCCAAAGCAACTACCCTCCATCCAACAGGCTATTAGGGAAGGGAAGGAAGGGGAAGTAACATTTTTGCACAATTTTTTCCCATTCCCCCTCCTTCACCTTCCTAAATGCAAACCCAAACAAGGTTAAAATTACATTTCTCTCCCCCCCCCCCCCCTCTCTACCCTCCATCCCAAACATACCTAAAAGACTAAACTTCACATTAAAGAAATCTCACCAATTGCGCTGGCCTCCTTCTCTGAAATCCTCCTCCAATTTCCTCTTCCTCTCTTCTCCCACCTTCGTGAGCTTCGACGACGAGAAGAAGAACACCAGCAGTAAAAATCCAAACCTTCAACAGTAAAAACGCCAAAAACCTATGAAAAAACAAATTAAAATAGAAAAAATAACACACTTTCTTCAAGAATCGGACCTGAAACCGGCGCAGAAGTGAACCGCCATCACCAAGAACCCAGCGAGAGCTCCCGATCGATCCAGAGACTTGCGCTTCAAAGCTCTGATCGCGATCAAGGACGAGAGAAACACCGCGAGGACGAATCGAATCAAGAAAGGATCCATTCTTTTGTGATTTTGTTTTCCGATCGAATGGTTTTATTTTTATTTTTATTTTTATTTTTATTTTTATTTTTCGATTTCAAGAAATGAGAGAGAGAGAGAGTGATGAGGAAGAAGAACGAATAAGTGGGAGGGTAGCCTGCTGTGCTTGTATTTAAATAGGCGGACGACAGAGTAAAGTTCACGTGGTGGTTAAAGTGCAACACCCAGAAAATAACCCAATAATTTTGTGGGTCCATATTAATTTCATATTAAATGATGTCATGCAAGAATGTGGAAAGATAGTGGAGGATATGTTTTTGAGTAACAAAATTTAGAAATTTGGAAAAGTTTTTTTAAAAAGATGCAAAGTACCCCCTCGTTACCATTTTTAAATATGGTTTACCTTCTGACTGAAAAATATGGAGTGAAAATGGGAAAGAACCTTACTCACTATGAGCATTGTTTTCCCCCTTCAATCTTTTAATATTTTGGAATTATTCCCTCAAATAATTGGAAGCCATAAGGTTCCGCAATTCTTGCATTTCATTGCTTTTATTAATTGTAGGATTAACTTGAAACAACTTATAAAAATTTGAGGAACTAATAGCACTTTAGATGACTTAAGGGGCTTTTAAATCAAGTTATAAGAATTGAAAAGCTTAATGCAATTTTTTGATGATTTGAGGGACTAGTTTCGAAATATTAAAGATTTAGGGGCTTTTTTATTTAACCGATCACAAACTACTCCAAGATTGGTGATCATTGAGTGAATAATATTCAATAGAAAAACTTGCGTTAACCAAATAAAAACAATTTTAAAACTTGAAAGAAAAAAAAAACTCTGTGAATGATCCAAACAAAAGTCCAAAGTGAAATTTGACCCTGAGAAATTCTTCAAGTAAGATTAATTTACAATTGATAAGACTTGGAAGTAACCCAATATGTCATATGTGACAAAGTTTTCATTTTACAGGCGTGAGCATTCTATTGCATTCTATTTCTTTGTTTCCTTTTATATGATATTAAAAAAGAACAAGAATTTGTTCTAGAATAAAAAAAAAATTTTGACCCTAATTTTGAATATTGAACCATTATTGAACCTCATTTCTTCAACAAGTCAGAGTTGATTAGAAGAAAGAAAGTATTGTGAATTATTGCCTGAAATGCGACTATTTTGTTTTGACAGATAATTTTGTTGATTTCTAATAATCTCCATAATATTATTTACTTTTTTTAAGTGTTCTTAAAATTTAGAAAGAAATGTTGTTATGACGAAACCTGATAATTTGTAGCTAAAATACACAATTAATAAAAAGAATTTGAAAATTTAATGCTCAGCGCATAGAAAGCAACTCTCGAGCTAGCATCAGTTTGTCTTTGTGTTGAAAACCTCCTTATCTACGCAGAAAATATTCATATTTAATAAAACTGTCCGTTTTAGATAGAGACATTCAGATTTTTCCTGTGAAGAAAATGAGAGCTTTTATTTTCAGCATACCAACAAAATTAGCTCAAAACACATCAAGCTTGTCCTTTTTAATGTGAATAATGCTCTGTATTTATTTCTTTTCTGTCGTCATGTAATGGCCGTTTTGTTCTACACAATTAAAACTGTAGAGAAAAAATAATTCAGAAAAAACTATATATATAACACACTAGAGTTACAAATTGTACGACGCTTTTTATTGAAGCATATCTTAGTAGACCTAGAGAAGAGGAAATAGATAGTACGGAGCATTATTATCATACAATTAGAATTCAATTCTATGAGATAGGATTCCTCGCTTCATCAATCTCAACTACAAGGAGACGATTTGGATCTAAACCTTTCGGTCCTTCAGAGTATAGAACTGGAAGATAAGCCTTGTACGCTGGTAAGTACCGCGATACAAAATCCAAAACCTGCGAAAATATTGGAACACATATGAAGCAATAAGAAAGACTTTTTTCTTGCCTAAGAAAAATAAATAATGGAACCTGTATTTAGGGGTCTAAACAAGTTGGATTCAAAATGAATACTCTGGTATTCAACTCTCAATCCAAAAATACCTGCTATTTGAATCCACTTACAATATCCAACGTACATAGGAAGATGATATTTAATGTCAATTCATCGATCCAAAAAATACCAAAAGAGAAATAGCAAGATGTTCTACATAAGCTCATCAAACTCAGTGTAATTCACTGGTAGCAAATAGAGTAAATTGCACATAACCCCCATGGTCTATGCTATTAATTAAATAAGGGGTTTAGTGCAACTAAAGGTATGGATGAGGGGGTTACGTGAAATTTACCCTAATAATAAGAAACACTTGTATATTAATAACATTTATCACATAATAGTGATGGTATATAGATAATTTATGCAAGTTATAAGCATAGCAGATACCATATAGAACATACAGCACAGTAGATAAGGATACTCAATGTATATTCAAATATCGATAGATGTGTATAGAAAGCCAATTCAGATACTTTGGAGATTATTTTTCACACTATATTTGTCGCAATAGCAATGTCATCTTTGAAAATCAAAGAGAAAAGGCAGCATTCATTTGAGCAAGTATCTAAAGCAAGCAGAAGCACAATATCACTTCATGTATGAAGACTGAACTTCACAGCCTTGGCAAATTAGACCATAAATCCATAATCGTAGAATAGCTCATACAGATCAAGGTAATTTATGTAATTACTCTTCAAGCCTTTAACATAAAAAGGACCCACGATATCTTTTTACACCTTGAGAGCAATTTTTTAAGGGTCTATATTTCTACTAATAGTCCAAATTGTCACCCAAAAAAGTATAATAGGTGAAAATTTTACCAAATTCCAGATTACATGAGAAGAACACAAAGTTAGTTTAAGTGACCATGTAATAAAAAAAAGATCGATTGAAGTATTATAGCTTACTGATCTTGTATCTTTAAAGTGAATTGACAAAATCCCACATTGACAAATTTCCACATTGACAAATATAAATTCTATAATAACTGGAGATACTAAGAACAAGCAGACATGAGTACCTCCTCATCTGACATGCCAGGTTTCCCATCTGCCCTCATGGCCACCTCCGCCTGAAATTTATAAATGAGATGAAGAATGAAAAAGAGAAGGATAAGAAAGAATATATAACCATTCAGTTGTATACTAAATTACAACTCTGTTTTTTTTACAATATTAACCTGCAATCGCCACTGATACACGCAACTAGGATCCTTAATCTTAATAATTATCCATGCCTCAACAAACTTGTCCCATGCATCATAATAAGCTTCAAGGTTCTTGTTTACAAGTTCAAGCTGGAGAACAAAGTAGACCATGAGCTATGCTTTTATAAAGATGAAATATGTGTTAATTGGTAAAGATAAGATCTTTATTTGTACTTTTTTTTGTAGAACTAACCTGTGGATCAACTGCTTTCACTACATCATTTGGAAGAGGCTTGAATCCAAGCATCCAACCTTCGAATAGAATAACCTAAATGATCAAGGCGTAAAAGATATATAATACCACTTACAAGACAAAATCAAAAATAAAAATCCAATAAAAAATTCTACTCATTCTATTTCAATTGATAAATCTTCAATTTAGTAATAACTTTTACCGTAAGAGGTCCTTTAACCTCTGGCCATGTTGAAGGATCAGCTCTGTCACCCCTCCCTCCATATGCTGACTATAGAGAACTAGTAAGTTCATAATAAACAAAAAATATAACAATCAAGTGAAAAAAAGTATGCACCCTAATATACCTTATCATACCGTGGGAGTTTCGCCTTCATTCCTGGATATTACAAGAAAATGTCAGTCTTGCATACACACACATTCACAATAACAACAAAAAATAAAGGGAAAAATGCTTCCAGCCCCCAAAAGCCAAGTGAACGTGCTTCCCACCCCTAAAACTTGGTCAATGGGTGTTTTACCCCTAAAAATAAAGATTTTGTTCTCTGAGCCCCCAAAACACAAAACCGGTGTTTTACCCCTAAAAATAAAGATTTTGTTCTCTGAGCCCCCAAAACACAAAACCCAAGACATTAAAATATGTGAAGACCATAATACCCTTCTCTCTCTCTTTCTTTTTTTATTAAAATATGATGAGGATTATTTTATTATTTTTCTCTCTCTCTCTCTCTTCATCATGATGGGTTTGTTGTTAAGGTTGTGAATCCTCTCTCTCTCTCTTTCTTTTTTTATTAAAATATGATGGGGATTATTTTATTATTTTTGTTTTCTCTCTCTTTTTATCATGATGTACCAAGAGGATAGTTGAAATGATTGATGAGGTTTATTTTATTATTTTGATTGTTTGTATTGGGAGGTTGTTAAAGTTACGGGTTGATTGTTAAGGTTACGGGTTGATTGTTAAGGTTACGGGTTGGTTGTTAAGGTTAAGGGTTTGTTGTTAAGGTTGTGAATCCTCTCTCTCTCTCTATCATGATGTTTCTTTGATGATATGAAATGATTATATTATTTTCGTTTTTTATTATTTTGGTTGTTTGTATTGGGAGGTTGTTAAAGTTACGGGTTGATTGTTAAGGTTACGGGTTGGTTGTTAAGGTTAAGGGTTTGTTGTTAAGGTTATGGGTTTGTTGTGTAGGTTACGGATTTGTTGTTAAGGTTACGAGTTTAATTGTTAAGGTTACGGATTTAATTGTTAAGGTTACGGGTTTAATTGTTAAGGTTAATAAAAAACAAAAATAATAAAATAATCCTCATCAATCATTTCAACTATCCTCTTGGTACATCATGATAAAGAGAGAGAGAGAAAACAAAAATAATAAAATAATCACCATCATATTTTAATAAAAAAAGAAAGAGAGAGAGAGAGAGAGAGAGAGAGGGGATTCATAACCTTAACGACAAACCCTTAACCTTAACAACCAACCCGTAACCTTAACAATCAACCCGTAACTTTAACAACCTCCCAATACAAACAACCAAAATAATAAAAAATAAAAATAATAAAATAATCTTCATCAATCATTTCAACTATCCTCTTGGTACATCATGATAAAGAGAGAGAAAACAAAAATAATAAAATAATCTCTATCATATTTTAATAAAAAAAAAGAAAGAGAGAGAGAAGGGTATTATGGTCTTCACATGTTTTAATGTCTTGGGTTTTGTGTTTTGGGGGCTCAGAGAACAGATTCTTTATTTTTAGGGGTAAAACGCCCATTGACCAAGTCCTGGGGGTGGGAAGCATGTTCACTTGGCTTTTGGGGGCTGGAAGCATTTTTCCCAAAAATAAAATAAAATTAAGAACTACTCCGATCATAAGAAATTACAGAACTATAGACTTAAAAGTCACGTAACAGTTCAACAGAAGGGTACCTTCCTTCGTCAGTTTGCTTAATTTTGAAAGTGTATCAACTGAGAATTGAAGATCATGGCTTCCCGCATTACCACGTAACTGGAATGAATTAGTAACAGGTAATTAAGAAATAATTTCACAGAACACAGTTTCCACAGAATAGAATGCGCATATTGTAATTAATGAAAATTTCCCCTTTAGCACCTCTAATAGAGCATTCCCAGGGTTTTGACTTCTTAAGTTGGCCTGAAAAGAAGCGTTAATACATAAGAGAATGAAAAAGGAAGGCACAGGAAAGGGAAATTGAGTTGGGACGAGGATATCTCTACCTGTTCTTCTGCAGTCAAATAAAAATCGTCTATTGATAAAGTTGCAGAATTCCTGGGAGATAAGTCATATCAGCTCGCCATTGTAAGTCTGTAGAGGGAACTGATTTTTTTCTATATGAAGAAATCAACAAGGAATTCTTTAAACAGAGGAACATTCCATGTAGCAAAAAGATGTAAACTTACCTACCAGTGCGCCGGAAAAGATAATCTAGAGCAAACACAAGAGTAGTTTTCCCACTACCTTGGGGTGCACTAACGCCAATCTGAATGATAAAGTATTGAGGGTCAACTATGAACAAAGAGGTACTTAATATTGTCTGCTGAGTAATTTCTAAATAATATAAAGATGGTCGTGCTGAAAAAATAATGATAATGTATATATATGTTTGGAAAATTTATTTGACTATACAATTACCTATTTATGTGTATAACACTCACTACGGAATGGAAATAAATAAACAGTTAATTTCACAAAACCCCCCTAAACTTTGGGGATTGCACATTCCCCCTGAACCTCCTCCCCCTAATGGAGGGTTTTTTCTCTCAATGATATGTTAGTTATTATTTGTCAATTAGAATAGAGGGATCCAATGAGAAAGGTCGAAAGTTCAGGGGGTGATGTGCAAAAAACCCCAAAAGTTTAGGGGGTTTTGACAAATTAACCCATAAACTATAGAAACTTGTGGGTAACATCTCAATAGGAGCACTTTAAAACAATCAGAGAGCAGGAGGGTACCATTAAAGGTGGAATCTCTTTTTCTTCATTAAATTTGGAGCGGTGAAGTTGAACTTGTTCTTCACACCAGAGAAACACGGGAATATAGTAATGGTAGATTCTGGCCTTTTCGGGGAGTGTCATGGTAAGTTCATTCATCCGAAATAATCTGCACAAATAACCTCCATATAATATCCATTTGTCTATGGTTTCTGCCACTTTTTCCTGAGTAAAACCCAATTTTTCTATCAGAGGCCCCATCAAAATGAACTGGAACAGATCATCAACGGAGGAAACTAGTGCAGGAGATGTAGGAAACACTGAGTGCAGTGATTTTGCTCCTCGTTCATTGGCCAAAATGCTGCCATGCTGTTTGTGAGTGGGAACTGGAAAAAATGTTAATGAATTTGATTTAGCACAAACAATCAAAATCAAACTGAAGCATTACACTATGATAATTTACAAATAAAGCGAACAAAATGAAAAGACGGCAAGTACGGATATTTCTTCCTTAGTTGTTGCCCGGAACAAGAAGGATCCAGAACAAACTTGAGCTACATTTTGCTTCAGCATACTGTTCTAACCCATCAGACTTCGTTAGGCATTAAAAATGAAAGGAAAGAATTTTTTTTCGTATCTTACTTTATTATGAAATGAAATACATCCTGGGTATCTTATCTAAATTTACAGAAACCATCAACAACGTAGAGCAACATAACCTTCGCATATCACATAGATTAGCTTGTGATAAATAAAAAATAGTAGCTATAATTTTGGAGATATGTCCTGACCTGATGAATGCGTACCCAATAGAAATTTAGATTAATGACATTCAGCTTATTTACAGGAAAGATACCAATATATAGCGTGAAGGGACATACTCCTTGCATATCATTGGAAGATTTCATAACAGTTATAGGTACTCGCATATATGAAATCTTTATTAAGTAAGCTGTCATAGATATAAGCTTTATACATGTAAATAATCCCTACTTTTGCACTCAAAAGGATGCAAGAATTTCACATGGAGTATCGAGTTACATAATTAAAAGCAAGACTGACAGAAATAAGCGAAAGGTATTTATGATATCTACTAATCTAAGGGTTGTACCCTTAGACACCTCTATCATGAAATTGTATCATATCTGTCTGTTGCACATGATACTTGAAGTTTCTGCGAAATTTTCAGAATTTGATGTGTTTCATTTCGTCATGCCATGTCATGTACTTCCCACATTGGCATGCCAGTGTCCGTCCGACATAGACTACGGTCTTTGGAAAAAGGTACAGATCGTTTTTTTTAGGATAAACGTGGGAATATTATATCCCCTCAATATGTCCATCTTATTAGAGGAGGAAACTGCTCTCGCTTTTCTCCGATTCTATCCTTTTCTTTCCCCTGAAATCCTACCAAACTCCACTATTATCCACACCATTTTCTCCCCTTCTAGTGTAGTAGTTGTTATCTCTATGGTCTATCCTTTCCGCACGAGCAATGGCAAAAACATCCGAGTTGTTACAACTCTTTCTGCAACACATTCGTTGCACCTCTCACTTCTTACAATTACACTCGTTACTTAGCCAACCATTGTAATATCCGCGTACGTCCTATCACCCTCATTCATATTCCAATTTCCTTCAGAATATCGTGATGAGAACATTTATTGCAAGTGATACATAACTACACCCCCACATTTCATGTTAGCTTTCCTAAAAATTACCCCCCGCTTTCTTCTGCTAATTCTAAATCCTTTTTGAACTCCAATGCTTCGACGGAACTAGATAAGATCGCAAGCTAATGATTACCTGATTGATTGAACAGCAAATCATACTGAACAAGCAAGTCATCAGAGAACAATTCTAACCTGATTTGAGACCGAGAAAACGAGAACAAGTACTACAAGGAGAAGCAGAAGGAGAGGCGTGGAATTTCGACGAAGAAGGAAAGTAAGCAGCCGCCGCAGATGACGGCTGTGAAGAAAGTGCAGCACTCAGAACCCTCATCCTGAGCCAGGACTCCAAGGAGAGCAATGACCCACAAAAGATAGCTCAGGTAACACATAATAGGCATTATATAGATAGATAGTCATCACCCATTGTGGGTGATGCTACTCGGTTTTGCTCCCTTGCTTTGCCAAAATTACTCTGAGATCCTTGATTCCTTCATTTATTAACATCAGCCCCCTGAATTCACAGCCGGACAGGGGACCACAAACTGGGTGGTGGAGGTGGAAACTGTAAAAATTATCCACTCCTCCTACTATTACCGGCTAACCACTGCGAAATTCTCGCGATCAATTGGAAGAAAAAAATCATCAGCTTGTGGATTTGAAAGTGTTGTTACCGAGCAAAAAAATTGGGGAACCGGGCAGGATTTGACGTGATTAAAGCTAAAATTATAGTGATGCAAATTCATTTCATCATAATATAATTGTAATTTTGAAGCAGATAGCTATCATTTACCTGTGTGATTGGCTTCCATTGATGGTGGCCTCTGTCGATGAGGACCTGTGACTGTGAGATTTCGATGGTAGGGTCTCCACGTTACGGGCCATCGATAAGCTGTTATTTACAGTCATTTAGGGTTTGTTTTTGTTTTTTTTTTTTTTTTGATACAGGATGGATTGCAAATTCTAGGATGAAAAAAGTGAGTTTTTTTTTCAGTTTATGGATTTCATAATATTTGTTTGGTTTAAAATAAATTTTGAGATATTAAATATCTAAATAATAAAAAACTAATATATAATAGCATTCGTAAAATCCCTTCTTTGAGAGAAGATTTAGAGTAGATTTCAAATTCTAGAATTTGTAATGCTACAATTTGAGTTTGAAATAAACAAAATATAAATTATAAGATTACATATCCCAAAATATTGATGAAATAAACAACATTTCAGAAATTCCAACTCATGCTAAAAAAACATATGGATTTCTGAATCCTATAGTAAAATCCGTAACCTAAAATTATAAAATTTGACCCCTTATATGATAAACTTAACGTTTCAGCGATCCGCCAGAACATCTTAGCGGACGGAGAGACCGTCCGACTGAAGATCTGAAGGCCGCGTGTTCGGTCCACGCTTGTCGCATCCTTTACTGCATTCTCTTCTCACGCGACATCCATTTTTGGCTTTTTCTATTGTTGGTGCAAACTCTCGATCAGCTTTTCTTTTCTGAGCATATTGTGTCGATGCAAACTCTTGAAAAATAGTTTTTCTATTGTACCGTATTGATTGAATCTTCAAAAAATGTTTTAACCCCAGTATCTTTTTTCCCTTTTTGGGGTGCAGCCTTCCCATGCCCAAGAATTTTGCAATAACCCCATAAAAATTTTATTTTGCAGTACCCCGGTTTTGAACTGTCTTATCTGTAACTTCCAATACTATAAGCAATTCTTCCCGAAATAAAGCCTATTTGAAGTCTTTATGGGGGTTAGTAAATTGGGACATTTTCACGTGACTTGGGATAATTATTAAGATGGAATAATTTTTTTACAAGTAGGATATTATAGTGGGATTATTATAAATAATTTTGTGAAGCGGGATATTTTGATAAAATAGCTTGAGATGATTTTTTTATAATCATAAAGTATGCATTTATGCTTTTTGATGATGTAAATAGTATTTATGTATTTTAAACTTACTGTTATTGATTGATAATTATTTATTAGACTATTAATTACTATTAAGTAACTTTTGGTTAGACTATAAGATATTGTCAAATATTATTATAATATGTGTTGTAGTTTTTTGGTTTTTTAATTAATATTATAGTACAAGTCTAAAATAAAGTTTTCCTTTTTTTTCTTCTTTTTTTTCTCCCGAAGATCTCTTTCTATCATCTCTCAATTTTATTTTTAAATAAATTATGGACCTATACTTTCTATACTTTTAGTTTAATTATATTATTATAATATTTAATAAAAAAGAAAATATAAGAGATGCCTAAAAGGAGACGAGATCCGATCGAAGGAAAGAGGTAAAGAAAAATAAAAAGTTACAAAAAATAAAAAAAATAAAATGGAGAGTTCTGGTTTTTTACCATCTAGTTCCAAGCTAAAACTTTGGATAATTTGAGAGGTTAGAACCCTTATTTTTGTATAGAAAAATAAAAAAAATGATAATTTTGTACAGTTATCCTAGTTCTAGTTTTATTACCGTTCTAGTTGACTAACATTGTTTCAATTTCTTTATTTATGGGAAACAAAAAAAAAATTTATGTGATCAGCAAATTTATATTCTGCCATAGTTCACAAGTTTCTCAATTACTGCACAAAACCCAGCTTCAATACGACAACACCTGTTCTACCTGCATGAAAGTGTAATCAGTCAAAGTTGGCGCCTAGCAACGCACACATACACACAGTTCAATCCAATTCGGTCAACAGAAATCAAAATTTAAGCACTCCAGTTGCATAAATATTGGTATTGACTGAATGAATGTTACAAGAAAAGATCTCCTGCAATTGAAAAAGTACATGCTGTAATCTTCCAAAATTGCTGCAACAATGATTTAATTAGAGGAGAAAGAAAAAGAGCGTGGACACAACATGACCATAGAAGAGGAAAAGGTATTTAGATTTAATCACGTAAGTTACCTATGCAATAGTTACATATCCCACAATTACACGAAATAGTTACACTCCCACAAATACTGGGGCAAATGAATTTTGGGCATATAGATACTGCTTTACATGGTACACCAAATGCTTGAAATAAATAAGCCATTTGGCCAACAATCTCAAGCAGTGATCACCCTCTATCATCCCTCATATTTTACGTTAAAAAAAAAACAAGATCTAGAAAAACAATCAATTGTTGGAACACTAACCACCGTAAACGAAGATGTGAAAAGAACAAAATGAAGGAATCAAATCAGCAGTCAATGGAGTGTCAACTGGAATTTTCAGAACCCTTGATGAAAAAAGATGTTCCAAGTCTGATAACCCTCTGTTAACAGACTGTAGATTAGAAGAATAATCCATGTACCGTCAACTGAACAGTGATTGAAGTAGTTGCGGAGATGCCATAGCAGCCACAGACTCAAACTGTATTCCAAAATAGCATATAGGGTTAATATTAGAGAAATATGTAAAACTATTAGGTAAATTCATCAAAATCAGCCAGATGAGCAACATGAAAGTTCTCATAATTTAGTCAGAAAATATTTTCTTAAATTTACAGTCACATTTAATTTGTCATTTATACCTTTGATTGTCTGTACTTCTCACGAATTGCATTAAGGGGGCAATTGTTCGTATTCAACTGTAACTCTTGCATTGCGAGAACTGCAGCTTTGAGTTCTGAAGCCTTATAAGAGGTATAATGTTCCAGAGTACTATTCTGCTTTTCGAAAGAAAGTAATAAATGCCTTAGCCAAGTTGAGAATAAGCCATCAAGAGAACTTTTGAGAGTTCATAGATGGAAAGGATATCAGTAGGCACTCACCCATGGATGGTCAGACTGCTCCAATGTCCATCTCGCAAGAAACACAGCAGATGCAGCTATGACTGAAGGAAGAAACTTTATGAAGCTATACTCGACCAATGTTAGCTCTGCTAAGTAATTGGCCAGATGACTCAGGGCTTGGGGGGGAACCTGCATTAACAAAAATAATTCACTTCAACCAAAGGTGGTATTATTTAAAGTATGGTTAGTCTAAACAGAACCATGCTGCATAACTTTAATTGTAGAAGTACCTACCTTGTATGATGTATGTGCTGCTCGAATATATCTCCTGCAGAGAAATTATAAGAACATGCCAAAGAGGAAATTTAAACAAATAGGGGTTAACCAAGGTGAGCAGGACTTACCTTAGAAATGTTTTTACAGTGGGCACAGAGATGTGAAAGCTCAAAAGGTCCAATACTTGAATTTCCATTTTTAGCACCTGTTATCCAATAAGGATACCTATGTCAGATCCATCCGTGAACAAACTCTCTACATAACTCTGCGATCTAATATACAAAAGGCACTTCGAAAAATGTGACAAGAAAATGAGCATACCTCTTCTTTGGTGTATGTGTTGTCTGTAATAAAGCAAAATTCTTCTATACGAGGAGCACAAATTTCTTCGTATTTTCTGAGTAACACACAACATAGAAGATTCGAAAGTTCTATTAGCTAAAGCCATATGCTAGAGGAAATCAAGTGCCAATTTAAGCATAAGTCCACATAACTTCAGCATATAAATAAATTTATGAAAATCCCTACTTTACTATATGAACAGGAGGTTGAACGAAATCCAGTTTTACAGTAAGATCAAGATGATACCATCTTGAAACAAGCTTCCACAAAATTGATCCCATTCATGTGCCAAACAAGAAATGCATTACTGTTGGCAGATGATAAACACGCTTGACACACTGTCTAACATCTTACCCGGTTATTACTCAAAAGTCAATTAACTCAAAGTTTATAGGTCAATATACACTTTGCATCACCGTTAGGAAAGTGATGCTGTCAGGAAAGTGACGCTAGCAGAACCTACTAAAAAATAGTTTGCCTAAACATGTGACTTGTAGCACCAAGACCATACTTCTAAGGTTCCCTTTTCAGCATTACAGAAGGTGGGGAAAGATATAAAAGCCAACAATCTAACTACTTCTTGATGTTCACATGAACAACGCACTTGAAACTATCAGGAAAGGAGGTAAAGAAAATAGAAGTTCAATGTTGTCAAACATGACATGCTAGTTATACATTGATAAACGCATTGAATTATCAATATTGGAGAGTAGCCTTCTATGTCATAGTATTAGCAACTAATTAAGGGTTGTATGTGTCTCCGCATTTTCTTTATTCTCATTCAATGATGATTAACCTCAGGTCTCTGTGATACATGGTTAAATGTGTTGCCAATATGCGGCGTCATACCTCAAATGTTTAATCCATCCATTGTCAATCCTCTTGTTGCTAACAGAATTTTTCATGCATGTGATGAACCGGACCAAGGTCATGCCAACCAAATAAATGGAAAGGTAACGTTTTTACTTGAAAAATACGATAACAGTCAAGAATGCATTTCAGATCAAAGTGTATCTGAATTTGGAGGACATTACCGGTTAACATGATACCATACTTGTGTTAGCAGAAAGGTGAAGGGTTGCAGTTTCAAATGTATTAATGCGGTGGATTGACCACCTAGGGATTCATCATGGTACCATGAAACAATCCCACACAAGTTTCATTTAGACATTAATAATCAAACATTAGTATGAAGATAGTTTGCTCAGAAGATACTTTAAATGATGGATATTCAAATAAATAGAATAACATTATCAAATATGACAACCAAAAAATACTACACAACTAAGAAAACATTGACATACTAAATGCAGGCGATCATGTTAATGGTCATAATCTTATTCAAATATATAAAGGAAGATTAACACTAACACATAAAACAAAAAACTTACGATGCAATTAACATGCAACTAATGCCCAATAGTTGCAATCTCTGCCTTTCAATATAATTTGAAAACTTACGATGCAATTAACATGCAACTAATGCCCAATAGTTGCAATCTCTGCCTTTCAATATAATTTTGAGAGAGGAAACGATCGATGATATTAACTAATGCCCAATAGTTGCAATCTCTGCCTTTCAATATAATTTTGAGAGAGGAAACGATCGATGATATTAACGGTGAGATACAGTGTGTCTGGAACAAGCTTGTATTCATCAGAAACCTGAAAGAGGAACCAAGTCATTGACATTAATATAAGGAGCACACGCTCAACTGAAGACAAAAGAAGGCAATGCAAAACTACTCGTAAGTGTTTGAAACCATCATTTAAGTCCACAATATAATTTACAGATAATCGGTAAAGGGTTGCTGACCGGCATATGGGCCTAGGAAGGGAAGGCATTTTTCCATGCCACTGTATTTAAATGCAAGTACATTTACTTCCACTACTACCAAACTGAGTTCCATCATTTGCCGGATTTTTGTGGAGTCATCAGTGATTTTTCAACTAGAATGAGAAACACCAAGTTTAAATCCCAGTCCTAAACCTTTGTAAATGCATAGAGGCATCACACACATGGCAATAGGATGAGAACATACAGAAGTACTCATTATACAGAAACCTTTCTATTATGGTGTTTTTAGTCGCCAAATTGTGGCCCTTTGCCAACAATGGGCAGGTGTCCCTCGACATGCACCGTTCAAATCGAATTGACGATCAGGACTGCCAGGATCCTGACTTAGCCGACTCGTCGAGTCATCATCTCCTTAGGTCGACTCGAATGGCGGTACTTGTCGGTCCTCTTATCGAAGACGACTCACTGCGAGCCCACTCGACAAGTTATTCAACACCTCGCGGAGTCGACTCGAAAGGTATTACTTCTCGACACCCCTCGTTACAAGCCAAAAGACGACAACCTCGCAACCTCCCACCTACCCACCCCACTCACCTACCCCCGCTGACAGCACGTCGACATCATATTATATGTTTGGCAGACGTCATCATTTCTCCATCCCCGACATTATTTGACACATCGGACCACGCAGGCTTTATACGCCGCTCATCCCATCTCATTAATGACGGAATGACAGCACCCATCCTGTGGCCGATCCACGACCGACATCTGTAAAGTAGACGTTAACTCATCCGCCAGCTTAGGTTCGGTCAAAAAGACTAGATTACCCCTCTTGTTTGGCTATAAAAACTAAAATTAGTCCAAATACAAGGGTAAGCAATTTGTTTAGTTTTTTTTTCCATTCCGCTGGATTTTCTCATATTCTCACTCAAGCACCTAGCTGACTTGATCGTCAGAGGAACAACGGGGGAAACAGTCCCCGTCCTCTTACGAGTTGTTACATGTGCAGGGACAAACAGCTCAACTCCAAATCAGATATTCGGAAAAGTGAGCGGCCCCATATCAACCCAGTCCCTATTACCTTTTTTTTTCCTGTGTGATTTAAACCATCAACACTTTCAGTTTTCACTTAAGTAGCCTCCCTGCCTTGGTTAATGAGGTTAATATTTTCATCACATAGAGAACCAGCCAAAATCTCTTGTTCAAAGTTACCATCCATATGTTTCATACTCTATATTTCCTACGTTTTGCACTAACATATTGATATAGATTCTCTAATTTGATTAGTTAATTTAATCCCTTTATGATATAGATCCATCAGCCATAACTCATAAGATAGGGTTTCCTAACAAAGACTGGGCCTCTTAGGCATGAGACATGCCCTTTCTTTTCTGCAGTTTCACCAGCCATGAAATTTACATTGACTTGAGAGGGCATGTGTCTTGGTAGATTTTCATTAAATATGAAGGAGGCCACTCCTTCAGATGAAGGCAGATTATAAAAGGCTGAGATGATAGAGAAATTCTGTAGCTAGTTATCTATCCCTCACTGAGGAAACAAATCTCATCAGCCTCTCCTTTGTTGGATAAAAGGATGCAACTTCTACAAGTACATCTAGTATATTCAAAATATATATCTTCAGTAAAAATTGCCGTATAGGAAGGCTGAAACAATTCTACTTCTTAAGTGGGATCTTGTCCTAATTTTGCTTGATACAGACATCTCATTCATACTCTACGAAGTGTAAACATAGCTATTATTCCTAGCAAATGGGAAATGAGGAAAGGATAACTGGAAATTAACTCCATACCAAAAAACGTCTGAAATTTGTAATACTTTTTGTTCTGTTAGATCTACCATGAATTTCAAGTTTGCCATATATCTAAGCAATGGTTATACACTTTAATATACAGGTTATGCATCCTTCAAGTACCTATACCTCAAGAAAAAATATTCACCTAAAAGAGTAAGTGATCTGAGAAAAAAATATTTGGCAGATGATACATGTATAATCATCTACCACCATACTGTAGATAGCACTGTTCACTGTATACACTGAAACAAGACATCAGGTTATTAGCTAATCAGTCAGCTTTAGCTATCCTCTATTGTCAAAGTGACTAAGTGAGAATGTCGTCCCATTATGAGGCTGTTTAAATTTTAATGTTGATAGGTATAGCTGAATGATATGCCAGATTTGCACAAGCTGAAGTGAAATGGCCAGTGATTATTTAGAAAATGCTGCAAATAAGTAGTCAACTCTCAACTCATAAGCCGAAAGTGAAGTTCAACTTTCATAAGTTGTTTACCAACAAGAATAAATTTCTTTTGAGAAAACATAGCCAAATCAAACTTTTACAAACCTCCACAAGCCAATCAATTAAAATCCCCCGCATGCTATGAGTGATATCTCGCTGCACCGTTTCCATGAAGTTAGAACAAGGTCTTTGGAGGAGCTGAAGAAAGAAGAATTCTTAATATAAGAAATTATAAAAGTCACAAACAGACAAATTAAAAACTGAAACAAGGACAAGAATAAACTGTCACATTGTCCCGGAAAGGTTAAACTCTAGGTAAATAAAAGTTGTGCACTTGATGGGACCTCACGTCTCTTTACTTGCCAGCATTATACAGCGGCAACAGAAGTTAAAGAAATCAAAGTAGTAATGGTAGGAAATTCATAATTGAGATATAGGGAAAAGCGACAGGTCTCAGATTCTTAAAAAATAAAGTTTATATCATACCTCGGCAGCATGTAAATTAGAATATATGTCAGATGAGTAAACACAGCACATCTGGGGATTTGCATGGTCAGCATCAATATCCATATACTCCAACTCAAATGAGCCCCCAGGATCCTCGCAGAATTCATCTTTAACTGCACCCACCAATTAAAGCATTATTACACAATAATATCTTTTATAGGGAGAAATGGCAATATCACCAATTAAAAGAAATAAACGGCTTGCAGAATATTAAGGCATTGACTGAAGTCCAATAGTGAAAATCTTCCATTCTCAATAAGTGTAATGTAAAGTGGTTCCATTGTCATTTTGTGAACAATAACAATGTTGAAATTTGTTTTTACTTAACAATGTCATTTTGATAGTTTGCCTAACTTTACACCTCAGATTGCATTTAAATATTTAGATCGAAACCATTGCTGTTAACAGTGAAAGAAGAGTTTGCTGCTAACCATCCTTTATGTGACGAATGATTTTAGGTCCTTCTTTGGAGGTTTCTTCATCAATCAAAGTTGTGCCACATGTGCTTTCCCCATCCAAGAGGCTCTCAACTTTTTCTGGGTACGTGTAGTTTTCTTTCACAATGAACGAGAGATCAGCATCTTGTGTCTCCAACATCACTACATTCTGTGTTCGATCTTCCTTCTTGTTTTCAAAAATCGATGTATTTTCCACAGGAATGGCAGGGGCTACGTCGGAAATCTTCTTGCCACAACATAATTTTGCCTTGGAAGGAGCAGATTTAATCTTCTGACAGACCCCAGTCTGAGCACAGATTGCATTAAAGAAAAGTTCAGACTTCAAACTAGAAAAAGTAGAAAGAAGACAAGGAAGCATCTATGGAAATTGGTGACAAGATTCACATGTCTTCAAGATTAATTGTTTAAAGATCAGTACAGCTATCACAACAACAGTTTTTTTTTCCTCCGTTAACATTCATGTCAAAAGCTTTCAGATATATGAACCTGGATTTTTGTTACATTGATGCAGCCCTTGAATGAATTCTCACAGCGAGTATTTGTCACATCACGGAGTACTGCCCTCCTCTTGTGTTGGAAAGCTGCAGTGGGAGCAGCATAACTGTTTTCGTGTCTCCTTTTCTTTCCCCGTTGTACCTTCTTGTCTGGATTGGCGAGCGGAGGTTTCAGTGGGAGTACTACACCACTT